GTATTAACGAATTGCGCGCAGAGAAGTGGACTCAGCTTCTTCATCAGACCTTGTGAGGTGTGATGTGCCAGAGAGCCGAACCCAGTCGTTCATTGCTCTAAAGACTAAAACATCTGAACAATCTCGCTCAGTGCTTTCGTGTGCAGTGACAAGTCCATTTGACACGGTGAGTGAGGTAGGCGTTTATATTCTCTCCTCCACTTTCCTCAGTTTCCACTTCATTGTCTCTAGCGAACGCATTTTAATATCCTGATAAAGATTTTCCTTCTTTTGATAAAGTTCACCTTCAGCAGCTGCGTATTCTACTGTTGAATGTGCCTGTCCAAATTTATTAAATGTCATCCGCAGGATTAGTCAATTTCGTATACATTACAGTATACTTTCAATGTACAAGTGGTTTGCAATTGGATATCGAGGGAAGGCAGTGTGTATGCAGTTTAAAGGGAGAATGGTTAAAAGGCACTGCGGAAATGACTAAAGTGCTCACGGTGGGAGGGAACCGCACCTGTCTACGGGTATGATATCGTGCAATGATTCAGTTTGTCATAAGTGCCTGTTAAGGCATTCCAAAATAATATCCGATGTATTAGGAACCATAATTTAGAGGCATAACTTAGACATATGTATTCAAAGGGGAGGAGAGATCCCTGTTTTGACTGCAACGTCGGTAGCCGATTCAAAGCAAATCGCATACGTGTCTACTACAAACAGCCAAGTAGAATATCGACTGGAAATAGACTATGTATAAACATATGGTAAGACAAGATGCAGGACTGAAATTGCTGGAAGATATTTTTGTTTTGTAGTGGACACACTCTAGCCCATTCATCAATCACGTGAGGCAAATCATAGTCTGAAATGTGTAACGCTTCAGCTTTAGTTGAATGGGGTGCGAAATTGCCCAAGACACCAGTACAAATTCTTTGAAGGATACAGGGAAATCCTTGGCAAGAACTTTATTATTCCTTATGGAAAAGATGTGGTCTATACAATGTCTTCTGGCAGTGCTGCTCTTTTGTCGAGGTGCAACATTCTCAATTACATATGATTATGACTTTGGTTGTATTGTTATAGAAAGTGCACATTTGGCATAATTTCACCTTATTTCACTGAAGAACTGTTAAACACAACATACGGACTAACGTATTCCTGTTGTGAACTAGTTATTTTGTTGGGGAAAGTTGTATGCTCAATGGTACGTTCCAAGCTTGGCGACAATATGGGTCGACACGTAGTTGGCCTACTTCCGCGGCTACACCAAAGTGACAGACGACACTATTACGTGTGCGAAGTCAGTAAAATGGCTTCAGATGTGCAATTTTACTTCCGGACACAAGCAAAAAAGTAATGAATAGTGTGCGAATTGTCATCCTACTCGACATTGAGACAGCTTCAGCGTTTATCGTGGCTTCGCTAGTCAATTTGACCAAGTATAGGCATGTTCTACAGATTAACATGCATAGTAAAGAAAGGCATTGAATGGTCTGGTGCAAAGAGCTTTACTTTAATGACAGAATAAAGTCTACAAATATGTCACTACATGTGAGCGCGGTGCCTCCATCTCATCCAAGCATTTATATTTGTCAACCAAGAGTGAGTCTAGAAGAGAAGACGAGCTAACAAAAGATTGTTAGCAGAAGTATAGACCCTCATGAATTACTCAATTATGTTTTGATGGCGCCAATCTGTAGTGCTTGATTCGTGGTTGGAGTTGTAATTGCATTGAATGAGAAGGTGAGAAGCAATGTAAGGGTAGTAGGAAAGAAAGCCTTCTCAGTGCTTCACGGCTTCCAAATGAGAGTTAGGAGAATGAAGTGTGGATTTCCAACAAAAGACACAAAAAAAAACAAACGAAAGAAAGAAATCTTGGTTAAAAATGACTAAATTAAGATTCGTTGGCACCTAACCCAATCAGAAAGTGTTAGCACATGAGTGAGCTCACTAACAGCCTCAATAGACTGTGGTGGTGAAGGTGAGTGTGAGTGGTGTGTAGAGGCGAAGCGTGAATAGTAAAATTTAGTGCAAAAAAGGAGGTGGATTGCTTTTGTGAAGAAAATAGAAGAGGTTTATTGGGTACGTTACACCATTTTCTGTATCACCAATGCACATAAAGCGGTAGCCTTAGAAGCTTCCCTTATGGGATGAAGAAATAGCGACCTCCCTTCTTCGCAAAGGTGCTGCCGAGAGAACCCTACAAGCAAATGCTGGGGTCCGTACGACTTGACGGATAAACGTGCCTACTAGAAGGGTTGAGTGCCGATGAATATTAGGTGGCATTGAAAACGCGAGACGGACCGCCAAGTGTAGGTGCTCTGTTATAATCTCTAGAAGTATTTCCGTTGAGAAACCATTATTTTTAACAAAATCTTGATGCAGGTTTATCCAGAATACACCAGTTGGCACAAAACTTCAAATGTATACTTGATTTACCGTTGAAGGAGTAAGGCAGCAGTCCTCTAAATCTGGTTAACATCTGGGAGAGAAGAGGAATCGACTTCGCACCAGAAAAAGTGGCATTAGTGGAATTCATGGGGTATTTCGTACACGCTTTGTCCAACGGACACCACGATGATGAATACCAGGATCTGATGTCAGATTAATTAGATGTTTTTCTTGTTGACTTTCTTATTTGTTAGCGACGTACTGAATAACCAACAGTCTCTCTATCAAATCTCTTGTCACTATACTTTTCGTGATGGTGAATACGAGTTTGGTGGCGGATTTAAAGCATTTATTTCAGTGTGCACTTTTGTGTGGCCAAATGCACGGGGATGTGTATCACAATCCTAAAGCCCGAATCAAGGGAATCCGAGAACATGAAACTTAAACAAGCCAGAGCATTAGCGATGAGGTCAGCGTGGAGGAGATTTGAGGTGGTGTTGGTTGAAAAACCTGCAAGTGGTTTCAACTTAGTTGGTGTCAAAACTGCGTACTTTGCACGAAATAATATAATGACAGGACGGCTCCTGGGCATAATAATAAAACCTTGAATTCAGCGGCCCCTCAAAATTCACTCCAGCTTTTATATATTTAGTCAATCCATTGTGTGTCAGAATCTCGGATCTTGTACAGGTGAATAGGAAAATTATCAACACTTGCCAGAGACATCGAAATTTATATTGACACAAATGCCTCATATCTAATGTTATGGTATCCTATTCCGCAAGATGAAGCTGCCAACTGATGACAGTGCGGAGCACGGGTGCACCCCGGACTAAATTATTTGATCCTTTAAATTATAGAAGTACAAGCTGCAGGGACTTGGGTAGTTTGTCATAAGTAATGGTGGTAGAATGCTAATTGCAGTTGACGATGAAAAGTTTTCGTAGCTCAGTATGGTTTAAAAATGAGGAAAGGCTTTATGTCGATTCCGCCAAATTGCACTTGCATATCATTATCTGGGAGTGCGTGCTTAAGTGAATGGGAAGAGGATTATACCTAGATATAAAGTTGGGTCCATTAATGCTTTGCCTCTCATGTTTAGAAGGCATATCTCTTGGCATGAAAAGTGGCAAAGGCGTAGATTTGAGCTTC